AAATTCTCATTTCCTTAAATGACAAGTTAATCTACATCAAAGCAGTGTCAAACAGTACAAAACAATGCCAAACAATGCCGAAACAGTGTCAAACAGTGTCAAAACAGTAAAATTTATGGCATGATAAATTTATTTCCTTAATATGAGTGTAAGTCAAACTGTGAATTTCATTGTGGAACGGAGGAGTATATTTTAACACCTGAAATTTTATGTAATCTAGCCATACAAAATGTACTGAAAAGGACGGATAAAAATGTCACATCAGGGTAACTACTTATTACTTGAGTTTGGTCAATCGACCGATGGAATTTTGGACATTAATTTAATCTAAGAAGGGCGTACTAAACTAATAAAGCAGTTTTTGAAGCTTAAAGCCTTTCTTTAAAAAAAAAAGCATAAAGCCTTAAATACGGCAGTGAGCCCAGAATCTCGTGATGTCCATGACTAGAGCATCTTTATGCCAAAATGTGTACTATAAACATATGGGTAGAGAGAAATAGACACACAAATATTAATATATAAAATATTTATCTCATTATTTAAACAAAGTTATATATATGTTTTTCAGTTTTTGATAAGTTTTTCTATATAATATCAATAAAAATGTCTACGTCCAACGTCCAAAAAGGTTGAATCCCCAACCCCAAGGGCCCCCCCACCCCGACCCGACAGGATGGTGGGGGAGTAAATCACGGTGACTCAGTCGGTAAAGCGGCAGTAGGCCTTTACCCGTGCGCACCAGAGGGCCAGCCTTATTTCAGGTTCTGAAAACCCCCTTTTGGCCGCTGCGGGATTCGAACCTTGGTCTACGTCCAATTTTTCCCACCACTCGACCAACTGAACTACCCGTGCGGGTAAAATGTCTATATGTACACATAGTAGTTGACAATGTCAATAATGTATTTTAATGTGTAGAAAGAAGAAAAGAGAAATGTCAATAATGTATTTTTATGTGTCTATCTCTTTCATGCTACATGTGTATCTTACACATTGTAATATTAGAGATGTTCTTACTAATAGGGAGTACTATCTATCGTAGTAATAATTTTTTTAGAGGTGTAATTGTCAAATACTCCGTATTTTATTTGCCGGCTTTACGGTTAGTGTTAATTATTTCAAGTGAATTTTTTTAGATATACTTATTGAATTGCCTAGGATAATCTTTTTCCATCATCTTTTTTTTTTCCTAGTATTTTTTATCCTTATATATATATATATATATATATATATATATATATATATATATATTTATAAGCATTATTTGCAACCTTTTTATTTTATCATTTATATATATATATTCATCTTTTTTATATTATCTTTTCATAATAGCTTATCTTTTTATCTTTATTCCTTCTTTTCCTTTTGGTTGTGATATCATGTATCGATTCATGTTAGCCGACCACAATATCTTTTGGGACTAAGGCTTGGATGTTGTTGTTGTTGTATACTTATTGCCTAGGATGTATTGCTCTATAAATCATTTTAAATTTATATATGCTTCTAATTCTACACTTTCATTAAAGTACGCCGCCCCCAATCTACCTCTTCCTCTTAAAATAATATTTCCTCCGTTCCACTAAGATTATCGATTCATCTTTCTTTTTCGCTATACCTCATTAAGATTGTAACATATAGAATTTGATAAAGTCTGTGTGGTAAATAATTTAAAATCAATTTAACATTAGAAAAATTGATTGTAATATATCCAACTATTGGCGGTCCGCTTTTAATAATCTCAACTATCGATTATCTCAGAATAATCTCAACTATAGTGACCCTCCGCCAATAATGGTCCATGATCAGATATGACCTGCTATAACAAGTGAATTTTAAACAGAAATAAAGCTTCAAAATTAAAAGTTGAATTATTTATAGGGATTACTTGTTATATCTCTTCTCATCCACCTTAGAAACTATAGGAATTTATTTATAGGCCGTCATGTCGGACCATTATTGGCGGAAGGTCACTAAAGCTGGGATTATTCTGAGATAATCGATAGTTGCGATTATTATAAGCGGACTTTCAATAGTTGAGATTATTACAATCAATTTTTCCTTTAAAATTTACCTCAATAAAATAATTCATTCTTTTTTTATTCTTATTTTATCAATTTGAAATCAATCATTTAAACTCGTTTTTCTTAATAGTTGCAGCACCTCCACATGTTTCAATGTTAGCGGAACAAAGATAATAGTTAAGTTGAGAATTTTGAAGTTTGACGAATCCTTGACAATATATACTTTAAAGAGAAGAGTTTTTATAAGAATATTACTAAAATAAAACATATTTACATAAATATGACTATTCATTACTACAATGTGGTGTTTTGGTAACTTAAGTTCAAAATTTGAACATGAATTACTATGATTTCATTACTACTCTAGTCATTAATCATATTTTTGTAAATCATCTTTATTTTGGTCATATTTGTGTATTTAATAATACCATATTAAAATTTACATATCAATACCTACGCTTTAAGTTTTACCGTTTCAAAATTTGTATTTAAGTATTACCTATATCATAATTTGGATGTAGAAACTAGAGAAAAAGTGAACTATGTTGACGAGGGAATAATGAAGTTTCACTTTTATTTTGGAACGAAGATGATATTTGTTTATTTTTAGTTTGGTAAATTCATAACAATAATCCATACTTTTAGAGACTCTATATTAATAATCCATATTCAAAGTGTTTACAAAAATAATCTGAACTAGCAATTGTTTTCACAAAAATAAAGTGAATTGAATTCAAACTATTCGTTTAATATCTCAACCCCTACTCTTACTTTCCCCTTCGATCACCATCCTCTGTCTCGATTAACATTTTTATGTTCCAACGTAGAGAGAATCACATATGGTTGAAATGGTGTTGACATTAAACGGATTTTATTTTAAATTTGCCTTGAGAAGAAGAGTGAAGAAGAGAAAAGTGAACGTAAGGGTTGAGAGTACTAAAAGGACATTAATTTGAGTTCACCCCAATTTATTCCCATGAACATTGTTACTTGTGATTATTTTTGTGGAAACTCTAAGTAGCGATTATTATAAAATCCTTAAATGTTAGGATTATTCTTATAAATTTCACATTTTATTTTTCAAAGTCTACTACTCCCTTCGTCGCTTAAAACTTTATCAACTTTCCTTTTTTGGATGTCCCACTAACTTTGCCACTTTCCCTTTTAAGTAAAGAATTTGTGGTTCCAGTTAATTCTCTCTCCTCTGCACAAACCTCAACCACACAGTTTTTACTTTATTAAATCCCGTGCCGGTCAAATTTGGCAAAATTTTGAGGGATGGAGGTAATAGTTTATTTATGAAACATAATATAGAAATAGCAGTTAGACGCAGATTTAAATCGACTCTGTTCGGGTTACCAGTTTCCGGTTTTTGGTTTATGTGAGCAACATGTGAAGGACTGAAAGTCCACAGAAACAGCTTAGATCTATTTGAGGGAAAGAGTTACGAAGCTGTCAAATCAAAGATTTGACTTGAACGGTTTCGAATGGGGCAAATGGGCCATTTTTCATTTTCAACTAAACATGCATCCGTTGAAATACGTTGGCAGCACTCGTTTATTTTATAATAAGGTCATAATTACATTTTGTAATCTACGGCCGTTTGGAGTATCATAATGACAACAAACGATAATGACAACAAACGAGTTAAAAGTTGTTATTTTTTGACTAAATTGATTAAAGTTATATCCAATCATTTTAGCAATTTTTTATATTTTTTTATTTCACTGATAAAGTACATTTTGAATACAACGTATAATTTATTCATAAATCAGCAGAATAAGACAATATATATGCTTCAACCAGAAGTTCAGTTGATTCATCTAATTGCAATGTTATCAAACGAGCTCGTAGTCTGATCTATTTAAATCTGATTTAGGTATATACTCCGTACACATCTATTTTATGTACTTTTAATAACTATCAAGTCTAGTCTAGTCCGATTTATATATCTGATTTAATCTGGTGTGTTTTGATTTTGTTAGAAATTGAAGTTAGTCCACCCATAATAGATCAAATCACATTACACACTTGGAGTCCGTTTGGTGACCTTGTTTATCAGCTTATCAAACTTTTCAGTCAGCTTTTTCACCAAATCGTAACTTGATTTCACGCGATGAATTGCAATTATTATAGAGGATCATTTTAGCTAGTTTTCTTATGAACTTTTATTTATTTTATTACTAAAAAAAGTTTAAATATATATTTTGCATATATCGCCATAATCAGCCAATCAAATCACTTCAACTAAAACTTTATAAATTTCAACAGAATCAGTCGATCCGACCAATTTTAATGTTTTCTAAACAGGCTTTTAGAGTATAACTTTATACGTCCGTCGTCATCCTGCTAAATGATTAACATGGTCCTTATTTTATTGATGTATGATTTCTCTCCTTTGTGAATGTAATATAGTCAAAGAATAATTAAAACTTTCTTTGACCGGTGGGTGTAGCTCAGCTGGTAGACGGGGGTGTCACAAAGGGTAAGTCTCGGGTTCGAATCCCGGCAATGCAATGAGAGGTTACCATGCTAAAATGCATAGAGCCTCTGCAAGTATCAGGGTCAGAATCTCAGTCTCTATCTGCTAACTTGTGATTAAAATTCAATTTACATCCTCTCATCTAACTGTCCGGTCGATGTTGAGGGACCCTTTTTTATTAAATCTTTCTTTGGGGTTAACTTTTAATTCTTCAAAACGAATATTTATTTAATCCGTAACTATCTATCGATTCCCATTTTGTTTTTTCCGCATCACCAGAATAAATAAATGTGACCAAGAACACTGTATGACAATGCACCCTTCGGCCACGAAATTTGCGTTCGCTTAAATAAACTCCGGCAACACGCCACTTAAGTAAAACACAGAAAAAGTGTGAAATAAAGGAGTGAAAATAATCATTCGGAAATCGAAAAAAAAAGAGTAAAACAGTAAAAATAAAAGCAACTAAAGGAAGTACGGAGTAAGAAAATAAAAATTACCAGGAATTCAATAAGGGCACTTATGAGGTAGATGTGATAAGAAGTGAAAAAGGCATCAGACAGAAAGCCGCCGAGAAGGGCAAGAAAGAAAGCCGTCCCCATGAAGTTCGTGACGGCGTTAGCCGATTTTGACAGCGAGAAATGCATGAACGCCGTCATGTAACGAACCAGGTTGCTCGCATTCGCCAAGAACGCCAAATTCTCCAGGACCTCCACAACTGATTAATTCCCATGCCCAAAAAATAACTAAATTAAATCGAAGAGTTCATTATGAATCTATAAAATATGAAGTGATAAAGTACTATACAAATCTGGGATCATTACCCAGCACGAATGAAGCGGCGGACATCCCGCCGTGTCGGCCTCTAACGGCCGGCCGGTTTCTCCAATCCACATACCCTTCCCAATTTGTTGCCCTCTCTTGATTTTCAACCTCCTGAAATTCAAGAAAACCAGAGTAGGTTTTTTTATGTGAGAAGGAGTTGAAGAGAAGATTGATTAAAAATAAAACAGTCAGAGAATTGGAAGCTAAGGGCAAACCATTTTTTGGCAGCTTTTGAGTTAGTAGTGAATGTGAATGAAGGGATGAAGAGGGATAGTTGGGGAGAGGGATTATTTAAAGGGATTGCTTGTGAATAAGATGGTCCTAAATTTCAGGGGAATGGTCAGAAGGCTTTTGTTAACAGCTTTTGTACTGTTGTTTTATACTCCACTAAGGAGCTATAATGAGTGAGAGCACGTTTGGTAATAGCGGAATCAGCTCTATTGGTGGATTCTACTCAAATTTATGACATTCTGACTGATGTGGTTATATTGGCTGATTTATCTTATTTGTGAAAAATAATAATTCAAAATACATTTTATTAATAAAATAAAGGAAAAAATATATGAAAAAATAGTTAAAATGACCTTCTACAGTAAGTTCAGTCAATACTGTCAGAAAAGTAATTCTAATCTTACTTTTTCTTATTATTACACAATTCAGCCCGTAAACAGTGTTCTAAAAAACTTCAAAAAGTGCCGCCTAGGCGAGCATAAACTTGAGGTGCCATTAAAACGCCCCGCTTCACATTAGGCGTTGAAAAAGGCGGCCGAGAAAAGACGAGCCCTTAAATTTGCCCAAATTCAAAGCCCATAAGCAGCGGCGCGTTCACAACAATGAAGTTCGGTGCCTAGCTTAAACGTGAAAAGAGCTCTTATTATAGGTGCCGTAAAACCAAAAGTTACGTGTTTGGTGAAAAAGTTGGCTTATAAGCCTGAAATGCAAAAAATCATGACTACCACAAGTGCACTGAAAATAAATTTCTAATTAGTGAGATTGATTAACTAATGAATTGACTGGATCTGATTCTAAAAAAGTATTTCTATATTATATTTCAATAATACAATAAACAAAAAATTATGTAAAGATATCTAAAATAATCTTTTGGTAGCCTCTTGATCAGCTGTCGCACATTGTGACATCATTCTGGCAGTCGGCGCTACACGCTTGCATCTCACGAGTTGGTCTATCTTCATTGGAGAATCTCTGAGAGAGTTATGATCCAACTCAGTTGTTCATTTGTTGTCATGTTTGCTCAGTTCTATGGCGCTTCAATTCTTTCACATGCACTGGCGCTTCGGTGTATGTTGTCTGCCAGAGTGTGGGATGTTGTTTTAGTTTTCCGGCCGGTTTGTCGGGTCAAGGGTTTTTACCTGCCTTAGGCTGCCTTCTTTAGGATTGCGTGGAGAATGGTAGAAGCATGCAAATTATTTTTTATTCCCTTAGCTTTGAATTCTCTATTCAAAACAAAGTAAGAAGTATTTGTGGAAAATATTTATTCTCATATTTTTTTCTTTAGTAGTATTTATATTTATTTTAATTCGAGTAGGGTTGATCAAGATATTTGGTTATATATTGAATAAAAAAATAATAACTTATTTTGATTATTAAACAATTCAATATGTAAAACCAAAAGTTATAGAAAACTTCCACTTTTGGTCTTATAACTATTATACCACTTCCACATTTAGTCTCTTACTTTCAGATTGTCCACATTTAGTCCGTGACCATTATCCCCTCACCACCCCTCGTCCTTCCGGCCAAAATTTCGGTAAATTTAGTCCACTTCTCAGCCTTAGAATCAGTCTTTGTATTAAATTTTGTATCAGGTTGGGTTTTCATATCAATCTTTGCACTAAATTTGGTTTTTCATACCTAAAATCTGCATTAAATTTGACAGAATTTTGGCCGGAAGGACGAGGGGTGGCTAGGGGATAACGATCACGGAATAAATGTGGACAATCTGAAAGTAAGAGAGTAAATGTGGAAGTGGTATAATAGTCATGAGACCAAAAGTGGAATTTTTTCAAAAGTTATATATTGAATAAAAAAACTAATAAAACAGATAAGCCAAAATCAAGAATGACTAAATGGACTTTTCGAGTGCTCATTGTTTATTATGATGACCTAATTTAGAACCCTTTAGGTGACATCAAAATTGGCGAATCAACCATTCTAATGAAGTTATGAAGTTATGAAGTTATTATTATTATTATTATTATTTATATATCATCATCATCATTACTATTACTATTATTACTATTACTATTATTATTAATATTATTATTATTAGTATTATTAGTATTTTTATTGGTATTATTTTTATTGGTATTATTATTGTTGTTGTTGTTGTTGTTGTTATTGTTGTTATTATTATTGTTATTATTATTATTATTATTATTGTTATTATTATTATTACTATTATTATTATTACTATTATTATCATTATCATTATAATCATCATCATCATCATCATTATTATATTATTATTGTTATTATTGTTATTATTATTGTGGTTTTTTTATGAAGATCACTAAATTATTTGTGAAAGACCAAAATATGACCCCTTTTGAAAATTTCCAAAACTACTTACTATATTATTGAAGCTTTTTATTTAATATTACATTTATTACTATAACATTCCTTTTTAATCATTAATAGTTAGGTCCTTTCAATAATAATAATAATAATAATAATAATAATAATAATAATTAATAAATAGGTATTGTTGTCCAGCCACCCCAACAACCACCACCTCCGGTGCCGCCACATCCATTAACATAAATGCCGCAGCCAATAAGGTTGTTTTTACTTGGAATGTTATTCATCCCAGACCAGACCAGGCCAGATCAGACTAGACCAGATTAAAACAGACCAGACTAAACCAGACCAGACCATATTTTATTATTATTATTATTATTATTATTATTATTATTATAAGGGGTGTGCACCGGTTCAAAACCGGCCGGACCGGACCGTACCGAACCGAACCGGATATCATTCAGGTTCGATCCGGTTCCGGTTTTTCTGGTCTGGTTCGGTCCGGTTTTCCGGTTTAAACCGGATAGTGCACGCCCCTAATATTACTCCCTTCGTCCCTTAAAACTTTGTCATCTTTCCTTTTTGGGACGTCCCAAAAAACTTTGCAACTTTCCCTTTCAATCAATTATTTTGTGGTTTCTGTTATTTCTCTCTCATCTGTACAAATCTCAACCACACAGTTTTTACTTTATTATTCTCCGTGCCGGTCAACTTTGGCAAAGTTTTAAGGGACAGAGGTATTATTATTATTATTATTAATAATATTATTACTATTACTACTATTATTATTATTGTCGTTGTTGTTGTTGTTGTTGTTGTTATTATTATTATTATAATAATTATTGTTATTATTATTATTATTCCGGTTCGATATGCACTACAAAAAAATTTGCATGTAGTCACGGACCGTAGTCACGGATTTGGTCCGTGACTAGTTAGTCACGGTTCTAATCACGGTTTAGTCACGGAACGATTAAAAAAAAAGTAGTCACGGATTTGTCCGTGACTACGTCCGTGACTATATGTAGTGACGGACCTAGTCCGTGACTAAAGTGTTCCGGCCAACCCATTTTCGCCTCCGGCGGGATTTTTTTAAATTTGAAATTAGTCACGGATGGTTCCGTGACTAGTACCGTGACTACAGGTAGTCACGGATTGGTCTGGTCTGGTTTGGTCTGTTCTGATCTGCTTCGGTCTGGGATTGAAATCAGACCAAGTAAAACGATAACAATTTTCGATAATTTGGAAGGAATATTATTATTTTTAATTATAAATGAATAAAAAATAATTATTTATGGATTATAAAATATATATAAAAAATAAAATCTTTATGCAAAAAATATAAAAAATAAAATTTCAGACCAGACCAGACCAAAACAGACCAGACCAGACCAGACCAGACCAAAACAGACCACACCAGACCAGAGCAGACCGGACCAGCAAATTACAGTCCAAGTAAAAACATCCTAACACCGCCACCACAATTAGTCACTAGACCGCATTAATAACTACCTTCTATCTCATGACATCCATCAGTGATTGTCACCACCGTCACCACTAACATCGCCGTCACTGCCATTAGTTACTGGACTGAATTTGTAGGTGACTAGTTTCCATGTCACGACATCCCTAAGTGACCGTCGCCGCCGTTGCCACCAACACCGCCGCCGCCATGAATCAATGGACCGCATTAGTGACTGTTGCCGCATCAGTCACAACTCACCGACAATGACTTCACCAATTAGTGACTATCCACCACCAGTGACTTCACCAATTTGAAATCCACCGCAATGTCTAATGACTGTGAAACCCAGACCATTCACCATGTTCACTGGAACCCTAGCCGCCACATGGTATCAATGGAACCTCAAAGCTGATCATATCCCTCTTAAAACCACCAAGCTGCCGAATAGTACTAAGCTCAATTAAAGACTCATCGTGAAATTTGTGTGAGACACTACTCTTGTGAGATTTAGGTGAGTCTCGTGGGCCCGTGGCAAAAGTGGAGCAAGATCTTTCTGATGCTAGAGCGGCATGTTGGGAGCGGTGCGTGGTTGCCGCCTGAGAAAAGATGGGTGGTAGCTATTTTGGGAAGATGTGAAACATAAGGAACTAAATGATTTAACCTATATAACTATATTAACATAGAACAATCAACAAATAAAATGTGAAACATAAGGAACTAAATGATTTCACCTATATTAAAGTCACTTTCATGGAAATCTCAAAACTAGTTATATTCTTCTAATTCAAAAGACCATTGGTAATATTAATGCCATTTTTTCATATGTTTGCTTTCTCCTAACTATTGTATCATTTTAAATCAAATGGCATTTCTTAATAAAAAATCGAAAAAATCGAAATTGATTCAAAACAAATCGAATCAATCAAATCATGATTTCAAATTTTGAAAAGCAAAATCAAATCGAACTGAACCAAACTTCTCTCTTTGATTCCGTATTTGTTTTTGAGTCAAAACTGAAAAAAAAAACACGAATACACTCTTATCCTGAGCTACTCCGCCGTATGCTAGAGGATTGACATTCGTAAAGCGTATGTACAAGCCTCTACCTAAGAGTAAGTTAGGATTCGGTTTGGTTAGAGAAAAGGTTTTTATAATTATCCACAAGAGAGATGTGAATCTGAATAAAGACCATCAAATCCGGAGCCTATATGGTACATCCGGGTGTACGTACCCCGGCCCAATTAGGTAAGACAGTCCAACATTGAGGTTCATTATCCCTACTTCATATCTTCTAATTCAATTTTTTTCTAATTTTTTCTTTTATAAAAACTTATTAAATTATATCTATAATAC